CTGTACCTTGATTCACCGCTCCTGTACCTTGATTCACCGCTCCTGTACCTTGATTCACCGCTCCTGTACCTTGATTCACCGCTCCTGTACCTTGATTCACCGCTCCTGTACCTTGATTCACCGCTCCTGTACCTTGATTCACTGCTCCTGTACCTTGATTCACCGCTCCTGTGCCTTGATTCACTGCTCCTGTACCTTGATTCACTGCTCCTGTACCTTGATTCACCGCTCCTGTGCCTTGATTCACTGCTCCTGTGCCTTGATTCACTGCTCCTGTACCTTGATTCACCGCTCCTGTGCCTTGATTCACTGCTCCTGTACCTTGATTCACCGCTCCTGTACCTTGATTCACCGCTCCTGTACCTTGATTCACCGCTCCTGTGCCTTGATTCACTGCTCCTGTACCTTGATTCACCACTCCTGTACCTTGATTCACCGCTCCTGTAGCTTGATTCACCGCTCCTGTACCTTGATTCACCGCTCCTGTAGCTTGATTCACCGCTCCTGTAGCTTGATTCACCGCTCCTTTACCTTGATTCACCGCTCCTGTACCTTGATTCACCGCTCCTGTGCCTTGATTCACTGCTCCTGTACCTTGATTCACTGCTCCTGTACCTTGATTCACCGCTCCTGTGCCTTGATTCACTGCTCCTGTACCTTGATTCACTGCTCCTGTACCTTGATTCACCGCTCCTGTAGCTTGATTCACCGCTCCTGTACCTTGATTCACCGCTCCTGTACCTTGATTCACCGCTCCTGTACCTTGATTCGCCGCTCCTGTGCCTTGATTCACCGCTCCTGTACCTTGATTCACCGCTCCTGTACCTTGATTCACCGCTCCTGTGCCTTGATTCACTGCTCCTGTACCTTGATTCACCGCTCCTGTACCTTGATTCACCGCTCCTGTACCTTGATTCACCGCTCCTGTACCTTGATTCACCGCTCCTGTACCTTGATTCACCGCTCCTGTACCTTGATTCACCGCTCCTGTACCTTGATTCACCGCTCCTGTGCCTTGATTCACTGCTCCTGTACCTTGATTCACCGCTCCTGTAGCTTGATTCACCGCTCCTGTAGCTTGATTCACCGCTCCTGTACCTTGATTCACCGCTCCTGTACCTTGATTCACCGCTCCTGTGCCTTGATTCACCGCTCCTGTATCTTGATTCACCGCTCCTGTAGCTTGATTCACCGCTCCTGTACCTTGATTCATCGCTCCTGTACCTTGATTCACCGCTCCTGTATCTTGATTCACCGCTCCTGTACCTTGATTCACCGCTCCTGTACCTTGATTCACCTTTCCTGTATCTTGATTCACTGCAATTGTAGTCTGATTCACCATATATGTAGCCTGATTCACCTTTCCTGATTCACCGCACTTGTAATCTGATTCACCTTTCCTGATTCACTCAATTTGTAATCTGATTCACCTTTCCTGATTCACCGCACTTGTAATCTGATTCACCTCACCTGTATCTTGATTCACCACACCTGTATTTTGATTCACCGCACCTGTATCTTGATTCACAGCACCTGCACCTTGATTCACCGCACATGTATCTTGATTCGCCGCACCTGTATCTTGATTCACCGCACATGTATCTCTATTCCTCTAAGAAAAAGGAGGAGTAGATGTAAAATAGAAAGAGACAGGCGCTCTCTTTACAGGCGACGGAAAAGAATAACAGAGCGGCTAAAAGAGGTCAATATATCTGAAATGCGTAGGGAGACACTGGTCAGAGAAATAGCAAACATCGAACTTAAGCTAAAGGAATCTTATAGGAGTCAGGAATCGCGGGAAGAACTAAAAGCCATAAATGAAATCGAAAGAAACCCAAAGTATTTCTTCTCCTATGCCAAATCAAAGTCGAGAACAATGTCCAGTATTGGGCCCTTACTTAAACAAGATGGGTCCTACACAGATGACAGCAAGGAAATGAGTGAGCTACTCAAGTCCCAATATGATTCAGTTTTTAGCAAGCCACTAACCAGACTGAGAGTCGAAGATCAAAATTAATTTTTTATGAGAGAGCCACAGAATTTGGTTAACACAAGCCTATCTGATGTTATCCTGACGCCAAATGACTTCGAACAGGCGATAAATGACATGCCCATGCACTCTGCCCCAGGGCCAGACTCATGGAACTCTGTGTTCATCAAGAACTGCAAGAAGCCCCTATCACGAGCCTTTACCATCCTATGGAGAGGGAGCATGGACACGGGGGTCGTCCCACAGTTACTAAAAACAACAGACATAGCCCCACTCCACAAAGGGGGCAGTAAAGCAACAGCAAAGAACTACAGACCGATAGCACTAACATCCCATATCATAAAAATCTTTGAAAGAGTCCTAAGAAGCAAGATCACCACCCATCTAGAAATCCATCAGTTACACAACCCAGGGCAACATGGGTTTAGAACAGGTCGCTCCTGTCTGTCTCAACTATTGGATCACTACGACAAGGTCCTAGATGCACTAGAAGACAAAAAGAATGCAGATGTAATATATACAGACTTTGCAAAAGCCTTCGACAAGTGTGACCATGGCGTAATAGAGCACAAAATGCGTGCTAAAGGAATAACAGGAAAAGTCGGTCGATGGATCTATAATTTCCTCACTAACAGAACACAGAGAGTAGTAGTCAACAGAGTAAAGTCTGAGGCAGCTACGGTGAAAAGCTCTGTTCCACAAGGCACAGTATTCGCTCCCATCTTGTTCCTCATCCTCATATCCGACATAGACAAGGATGTCAGCCACAGCACCGTGTCTTCCTTTGCAGATGACACCCGAATCTGCATGACAGTGTCTTCCATTGCAGACACTGCAAGGCTCCAGGCGGACATCAACCAAATCTTTCAGTGGGCTGCAGAAAACAATATGAAGTTCAACGATGAGAAATTTCAATTACTCAGATATGGTAAACACGAGGAAATTAAATCTTCATCAGAGTACAAAACAAATTCTGGCCACAAAATAGAGCGAAACACCAACGTCAAAGACCTGAGAGTGATCATGTCGGAGGATCTCACCTTCAAGGACCATAACATTGTATCGATCGCATCTGCTAGAAAAATGACAGGATGGATAATGAGAACCTTCAAAACGAGGGATGCCAAGCCCATGATGACACTCTTCAGGTCACTTGTTCTATCTAGGCTGGAATATTGCTGCACACTAACAGCACCTTTCAAGGCAGGTGAAATTGCTGACCTAGAAAATGTACAGAGAACTTTCACGGCGCGCATAACGGAGATAAAACACCTCAATTACTGGGAGCGCTTGAGGTTCCTGAACCTGTATTCCCTGGAACGCAGGCGGGAGAGATACATGATTATATACACCTGGAAAATCCTAGAGGGACTAGTACCGAACTTGCACACGAAAATCACCCACTACGAAAGCAAAAGACTTGGCAGACGATGCAACATCCCCCCAATGAACAGCAGGGGTGTCACTAGCACGTTAAGAGACCATACAATAAGTGTCAGGGGCCCGAGACTGTTCAACTGCCTCCCAGCATACATAAGGGGGATTACCAACAGACCCGTGGCAGTCTTCAAGCTGGCACTGGACAAGCACCTAAAGTCGGTTCCTGATCAGCCGGACTGTGGCTTGTACGTTGGTTTGCGTGCAGCCAGCAGTAACAGCCTGGTTGATCAGGCTCTGATCCACCAGGAGGCCTGGTCACAGACCGGGCCGCGGGGGCGTTGACCCCCGGAACTCTCTCCAGGTAAACTCCAGGTAATTCATTCACTGCACCTGTATCTCGATTCACCGCACCTGTATCTTGATTCACCTCACCTGTATCTTGATTCACCGTACCTGTATCTTGATTCACCGCACCTGTATCTTGATTCACCGTACCTGTATCTTGATTCACCGCACCTGTATCTTGATTCACCTCACTTGTATCTTGATTCACCGTACCTGTATCTTGATTCACCGCACCTGTATCTTGATTCACCGCACCTGTATCTTGATTCACCGTACCTGTATCTTGATTCACCGTACCTGTATCTTGATTCACCGCACCTGTATCTTGATTCACCGTACCTGTATCTTGATTCACTGCACCTGTATCTTGATTCACCTCACTTGTATCTTGATTCACCGCACCTGTATCTTGATTCACCTCACTTGTATCTTGATTCACCGTACCTGTATCTTGATTCACCGCACCTGTATCTTGATTCACCGCACCTGTATCTTGATTCACCGTACCTGTATCTTGATTCACCGCACCTATATCTTGATTCACCGCACCTGTATCTTGATTCACCGCACCTGCAGTACGACTAACTACACCTGTTCTTTTATGCAAATTATGTGCCGTATGTTAAACTCCACCTCGCATCAGCCAGCAGGCATAGTTCAGTGTTCACTTTGTTGTAATCTGAACAAGTGAAAAATAACCATACCACGGGCGGGATTGAACCCGCGGTCAGAGAGTCTAAAAACTCCAAACCGCGGGTTCAATCCCGCCCGTGGTATGGTTTGTTTGCAATCGTGTCATTACGATTTCGTGAGTCACGTGAACAAGTGAAACCAAACCATCAATAATATATAAAGCAAATTTCGACACCAATGTAAAGTGGCAACTCTGAGAATGAACTGTATAAATATGTGTCTGTGTTAGAGTTGAGAAGGACCTGCCAAGGATGGGCCAGTTACCCTTCTACGTAGTTATTTTTTTTTTTTACGTGGATGAGAATAGTTAGCTACTATTCGGGAAAAGTATTCAAGGAAACGTTTCGCCACGAGATGCTTCGTGGCGAAACGTCCTGAATTGGATATATGGGTCATTATTCATAATTCGTTGGTATCATAACACAAACACTAGGATATTTTATCGGCAACGTTTCGGTCCTGGGACATAGGAGTGACCAAAGTCACAGGAGCGAAACGTTTGAAGTAAATTTTTTTTATTTTGTCTGTTTCGCCAATAACTTATCGGATTAAATAGCATTTTCTCCATACCATTCACCATACCATGTTCTTCAGTAAACACCATACCATGCTCTTAAATACCATACCATGTTCTTAAATACCATACCATGTTCTTAAATACCATACCATGTTCTTAAATACCATACCATGCTCTTAAATACCATACCATGTTCTTAAATACCATACCATGTTCTTAAATACCATACCATGTCTTAAATACCATACTATGTTCTTAAATACCATACCATGTTCTTAAATACCATACCATGCTCTTAAATACCATACCATGTTCTTAAATACCATACCATGTTCTTAAATACCATACCATGTTCTTAAATACCATACCATGTTCTTAAATACCATACCATGTTCTTAAATACCATACCATGTTCTTAAATACCATACCATGCTCTTAAATACCATACCATGTTCTTAAATACCATACCATGCTCTTAAATACCATACCATGTTCTTAAATACCATACCATGTTCTTAAGTAAATATACCATGTTCTTAAGTAAATATACCATGTTCTTAAGTAAATACCATACCATGTTCTTAAGTAAATATCATACCATGTTCTTAAATATCATACCATGTTCTTAAATACCATACCATGTTCTTAAGTAAATATACCATGTTCTTAAGTAAATATACCATGTTCTTAAGTAAATACCATACCATGTTCTTAAGTAAATATCATACCATGTTCTTAAATATCATACCATGTTCTTAAATACCATACCATGTTCTTAAGTAAATATACCATGTTCTTAAGTAAATATACCATGTTCTTAAGTAAATACCATACCATGTTCTTAAGTAAATATCATACCATGTTCTTAAATATCATACCATGTTCTTAAATACCATACCATGTTCTTAAGTAAATACCATACCATGTTCTTAAATATCATACCATGTTCTTATCTTAAGTTATGCATGAATGGCATACAATACTGATGAAGAATTATACACACATGCAACATCTGTGTATCTTTATTTGTAGACGTTTCGCCCTCCAGCTTTGTCAATACATATTATAGACAACCAGATGTTGCACATGTGTCTAATTCATCATCTTATGTTAACCACAAGTCATTTCCTACACTTTGCCAGGTACTTTTCACCCTTTCCTACTGTACGTGAGGACGGATGGCACCGAGGACATGGACATGAATAATCGAGGCTTCAGCCTGAACTACGTACAGACAGACATTTGCGAATAGATGGTTAATTGGACTTAAAGCCTATATGGACTACACGAGGCTGCCTGCTCATCACCTGGCTAGAATGAGTCAACAATCAAAATTCTCCATGGAGAAGTGAAACAGAATTCTTCCTCCGTAAGCCATGAGTATCGTAAGAGGCGACTAAAATGCCGAGAGCAAGAGGCTAGTAACCCCTTCTCCTGTATACATTACTAAATTTAAAAAGAGAAACTTTAGTTTTTCTTTATAGGTCACCTTGCCTCGGTGGGATGCGGCCTAGTCGTTAAAGAAGAAAAAAACTAGTATACCTGGAGAGGGTTTCGGGGTCAACGCCCCGCGGCTCGGTCTGGGACCAGGCCTCGTGGTGGATCAGGGCCTGATCAACCAGGCTGTTACTGCTGTAAATGTTACCATTTTATTGATTAGGAATTCTTGGTAGTCATGTACGACTATGTTACAGTATCATTGCAGTTATAGTTCCCACTTAACATTATTTTATCACCCCTTACTACCTGTTAGACGCATTAGAGTTGCAAATTCTCTATGCATTGCCTGATATGACTTGTATCTAGACTGTAGTACAGTGGTAGAGTATATAGATAGTATGTAAATAAGACACAATATGGTGTATGTTCGTGAAGACTTATTCACCAGAGTCTTGATCAGTTGCTAAAGTAACGTAAATTACTCAATTTTATTTCTGTAAAATTGATTTACAGAAAATGTGTTTGTATTAATACAGTTTACAGAGTCCCTGGTTATGCAGAAATGTTTCGTGGTGAACGATATATTAATATTATTATTAAAGATTCGCCGGTATTCTCCCGGCCCGGGCCTTTTCCAAGTGGTGGCCCGGCCTTGGCTCCCTCTTTAGGGAGTGTCTGAGACCTAAGTCTCCCATGGGAGGAGGCACAAGTACTTCCTCATCTTTGGGACCAACTGTCCCCAGGCCTAGCCACAAGCTAGGCCCCTCTGGTCTGCCATCCCCGCCCCAAGGGGGCAAATGGGAATGACAGTCTTGTGAGCTACAAGCTCGGGCTCAGGCACCTACCCTACCCTAGAAGGGCTGGGCATGGTGTCGATGAACGACATAACTTCATGATAAAATACGTGTCTTGAAAATACAATTTAACAACTCTTGTTATTTTACTAAGCTAGCCTATTAATTTCTAACAATTAGCTATTATTTTAGTAATATGACCCTTCTTAGTTTATGCTAAGTAATTTATATTATGTATGATAACTGTATTTACATGTACCTGTTCCTAAATAAACTTATTGGATCATCCATCAAGTTTTGAGGAGTCATTCACTCGTTATTTAGAGAATTGTATTTCTGCGGTTGGGTAACTAAAGAAATCCTTAATCTTGCTGCTTCACTGTGATTCCTTTTAGATTTTAATTCGATATGACACATGGGTTCACGATCCCAATAAACACCATTTGATCGTATATCTTTACAATATGGTCTGGAATTCTCCTTTATAATGATGATGATGATGATGATAATAATAATAATAATAATTATTATTATTATTATTATTATTATTATTATTATTATTATTATTTCTACATGTACAAGGCATACAAACCATCGCTGACATCAGTGACATATTACTACATAAAAAGCCGCTTGCTATGCTGAGCATTTCGTGCAAATTAGGTCAATTTTGCCCCAGGATGCGACCCACACCAGTCCACTAACACCCAGGTACATATTTTACTGATTGGTGAAGTTGAACAACAGGTGTAAGGAAACACACCCAATGTTTCCACCCTTGTCGAGAATCGAACCCGGAACCCCCAGCGTGTGAAGCGAGAGCTTCACCACCAGGCCACGGGCCACTTTATTTTCTGAAACCTGTTGTATGTATACCTAACAAGGTTATAATACCTGATCTTATTACTCTAATGTAAAGAGTATCATGTTGATTCTAGGTTAGAAATGATTCTAGGTTGGTTAATGGGGTTCAAAGCCTACCGATTGTATGACGATCGTGAAAGAGGCTGCATGTCACCTGCTCACCTCCAGATTAGAACAATGAATCCCTTAGGTTAGGTTAGGTAAGGTTCGTTAGGAAACAGGACAAATGTTTCCTGACGCGGGTCTTAGTCAGATGATGACCAGCCTTTGGAGCTTTTGGTCATCTGACCGAGGCCTTCCGCTGGCTTACCGGTCCACCCCTTTAAAAATTATGGTCATTTATAACCAGTCTGTAATGTATAGTTAATGAATCCCTTAAAAGGGATTAAAGAGAACTCTCAGTGTATATACACCGACAGGCTTTCTTGCGGTGTATATGTCGTCTCGAGATCCTATTAGACTGTAAGCGATATTGTATTACCCTAGATATCATTAACATCCACACACGATAACCTTCAGTAACTTCAGCAACAAACAAACCACAAACTAGGATCATGATGATGTCACTAACAAATAAATTACAGCCACAAAAAGAAGCTTCATTGCTAGCTAACTCAGCTTACACATCAAGGTCCTTAGTTCGATCCCCGGTACGGGTGAAAAAATTAGGACGCGTTTCCTTAAGATATCTACTGTCTATGTCCACCCATCAGCAAAATAGGTATCTGGGTGTTAGTGGACTGGCGTAGGTCGCATCCTGGGACAAAATTGACCTAATCTGCGGGAAATGCTCTGCATAACAAGCGGTTTTCTATATAGTAGTATGTCACTGATGTCAGCTATGGTCTGTATACCTTGTACATGTACTTGTAGAATTAGATTATTATTATTATTATTATTATTATTATTATTATTATTATTATTATTATTATTATTATTATTATTTATTATTATTATTATTATTATTATTTATTACAAAGAACTTCAGTTACTTCGAGGAGCTTCACTGATGTCAGACTTTAAGAATGTCAGTGACGACTTCACTAAGGATCTTCGATGACGTCAACCAAGGCAGCAAACTTTTCAGTGAAGACAACGTGAGAGGTGCCAAGAACACAGTGCCAAGTGCCAAGCAATGGAGGGAATGAATAGTTCTAGCGGACATGACATGAAGTTAGTTGAAAAATGTCTCTCTGAGACGCAGTTTTAGGCTGACTACTTAATCACACATTTAATTTTATATATACCACATGCTGACTAGAAAAGAAAAAAAATATGGTAAGCCAGCTGAAGGCTTCGGTCAGATGACCAAAAACTCCAGCAGCAGGTCAGCATATGACTAAAACCCGCGTCAGGAAACACTTCTCCTGTTTCCTGACGAACCTTACCTAACCTAAGGAAGAGAGTCAGTAGCAGAGCTGACACACTGCCTGATTTACACTCGTCTTGAGAACAATTGAAATCAATTCATTCTCACACTCCTAATTTGAAAATTAATAAGCCTACTCAAGGTGGTTAATTATCAAATTATCATTTGTAATAATAATAGGAAAACGATTTAATTGATGTTAATTAAATTACGCAAAATTTAATTCTATAACCTTCAAATAATGTAACCTGAATAGCTATACCCAAAACAGCATATGTTAATGCCAAGTAATTGGTTTAAAATGAGTAGCAGCAGAGGCTAATGACAACATACAAAACAGACATGTTTACACCATGATGGTGGTCTAACATGTGCTGTACCTGGCCTCTTATCAGGTAGCCAAACCCGTGTTAAGCATGGCCTGTTGTCCGCCTATCAATACTGAGCTTTTCTGCACGTAGCCAAACCATACAGTGTCGGCTAAGACAGGAAGACCTAGTTTCTCGACGTCCCTATAGCCAAGGTCAACTGTCCACCCCTGCTTCAATTATCTTTACTTCCTCTGTGGAAGTCACCATTGCTTCACCTATCTTTACTTCCTCTGTGAAAACCACCCAATACTTCAACTATCTTGACTTCATCCACTTACATGATATAACCTAATTAATCCGGTGACGGGATGATGCCTCATGTGTCTTACTGAGGTATTTGAGTGAGAGAGGAGAGACCTTGACAGAGACAATGACAACAATTAGAGTAACTAAAAATAAGATCAGCCACATATGTGCTTTCCTGTGATTAGTGACCTCTTAAGTTACTTAAAATTAAACCTCTCAAGCGAATAATATGCATTGATCTAAAGGAACATAAGCAGACGGCTTACTCAAACACATTATCAGGATTTCCATGAACTATAGGAAACACCGTAATCTACAGTCGACTGAATCAACATAAAGCAATGAAAAGCATCCATGAGAGGTGTTTTTACCCAGTGGGAGGCCACCAGTGTTGGCTGGCTTCCTCCCAAGTGTGACAGTAAGGCTGATGCTGCTGCTCGTTGAGTTTATTTATGATTGGGGCGAGGCTATCTGGGCCAGAAAAATAATCACTCCATGGACGCCACGTAAATTTGCCTGTTTGTTTGTCTCTGGTGTATAACAATTTATTTGTTTGCACCACCATGTATCATCCCTCCAGCAATTGGTATTAGTCTCTTATCAATATATTAGTAGTGTCCGGGGATTATCTTCATTCTGTTTGCTTAAAACAAATTGCATATGTTATTGTTGCATCTTCTGCCTCTCAGTTTCATTCCTCTCTTTGGAAGTTACGAGATCATTAATACCTTATTAAATGGTTCATGTTTGTGATAAAAACTTTCAATGTCTTAAAGGTTTGAATGACATCTCATAGTCGCCATTTTCTAGGAAGGAAAAAGGTTGACTGCTTTGAGTCTTTCTTCATCTGAGACAGACCTGTGAGGTCCGTCTCAGATCCAACCTATCCAACATTCTCCACCTGACTCTCCACCCTATAAACACTCACGTACCTTTCACCCAGGTAGATCTGTTTCTGACCTGATAAAGCCCACTGTGTGGGCGAAACTTGCATTTGTGGTCACAGTGGTGCTAACCTTCCTATGGTGTAGAAATATACCTAGTTGGATGAATTTTATTGTGGCTAGCTGGTCCAGTGACTAACACGACGGTCTGGAGTTTTGAGACTCTCTGATCGCTGGTTCTAACCCCACCCACGGTATGGTTTGTTTGCAATCGTGTCATTACGATTTCGTGAGTCACTTCAACTGTGTTATTTTTCCATTGTGTCGGTATTTTATACAATTAATCTCCACCGTGATGGTACGAGGTTGGTAGTGATTCTCCGTTTCCTTTCCACCATACATTTCTCCTATGTGTAATTTGGAGATCAGAACTGAACGGCATATTTAAGTTGCGGTCTAATAAGTTTATGATGGACAGCCAATATGATGTCTAGTGTTTCGTGCTCGAAGTTTTTAGTTATGAAGCCTAGAATTCCGTTAGTGTTGCTACTCGCAAATAGATTAATTTGGATTATTATTATTATTATTATTATTATTATTATTATTATTATTATTATTATTATTATTATTATTATTATTATTATTATGGGGAGCGTTAAACCCGATGGAAGGTATTCAGGCTCAATTTAGGGAACATCAAATTCCCTAGATCAAGAGCCCCTCACCAGCGTCAAGGAACCTCCCTTGTGGGTCCTTAGATCAGGAGCCCCTCACCAGCCTCAAAGAACCTCCCTTGAGGGTCCCTAGATCAAGAGCCCCTCACTAGCGTCAAGGAACCTCCCTTGAGGGGAGATTAATTTGGAACTTTGAATGTCCTTGCTAATGATTGTTCTAGAGTATTATTCCAAGGCTGAGGGACTGATTACTTCATCTTTTGCATATAGTTCCACTGTCTTTTAGTTATGTCCTAGAATTTGTATTAATAAAGCCACCGGATGGCGAAACGTCTACAATAAAGATAACCAGATGTTGCACATGTGTCTTGACTTTCATCTTGTCGGTATTGTATACCTTTCTTGCACTACCAAACATTCTTGGCGGTCCCTTACACGTCCGTCTCGGATCTAACCTGCCCACCATTCTCCACCTGACTCTCCACCCTATAAATACTCACGAGTTATTCACCCAGGTAGATCTGTTTGCGACTTGATAAAGCCCACTATATGGGCGAAACGTTGTCAATAAATCACATTATCCTGTTTTTGTGTTTATTTTTCCATTTTTCATCTCAGATCCTACTCAATATCTCAGGTCCTGATCATATTGAGTCAAAAATGTGCATTCATTTTCACTGTCAATCAATGAAGGTGTGACGAAAATGAATTTGAAAACCAGCAAGTATATATATATATATCTATATATATATATATATATACATATATATATATATATATATATATATATATATATATATATATATTATATAATATATATATATATATATATATATATATATATAGTTAAGAATGAGTCACTTGTGTAACATTTGGGAATCTTTATTGAGGAAACGTTTCTCCAGCCAGTGGCTTCATCAGTCCAATACAGAG